TGGCCCGAGTGATTACTGGCAGGTTTTGAGTAATCCGGTTAATTCCAACACAAATTAGAAATATCTAAACTTTTTTTCTACAGAAGAGAGAAAAAAAAAAGTTCTAATAATCAGTCACAGTTGTTTGGTCAGGCATACCGCCCAGGCTGCTGTGCGCTCGGTGAGCCAATGAAATGAAATATCAATAGGATCTCTACAATTAACTACTATACCATTGATGTGCCATGTATAGATGTTAGGAGGAAAAGCGATTCATGTTTGATTTAAACTAATTCTTCATGTGATCTTTACTTCAGGTTAAAAAGAAATACAGCCAGCCAAAAACTGCTTAAAAAATTAACAATGTAATTTCAAACATCACTGAAGAAACACTAATTTAGGACAAGGCTTTAAAGATTGGTTCAGTCGCCACAGGTTATTAAAACACGCCTCCAGTACTAAACGATGAAGGAGCATTTCTTTTTCTTTTTTTTTTTTTTTTTTCACTCTTGTTGCCCAGGCTGGAGTGCAATGGCATGATCTTGGCTCACTGCAACCTCTGCCTCCCGGGTTCAAGTGATTCTCCTGCCTCAGCCTCCCTAGTAGCTGGAATTACAGGTACCCGCCACCACGCCCAGCTAATTTTTTGTATTTTTAGTAGAGACGGGGTTTCACTATGTTGGCCAGGCTGGTCTCAAACTCCAGACCTCAGGTGATCCACTCGCCTCAGCCCCCCAAAGTACTGAGATTACAAGCGTGAGCCACCACGCCCGGCTTGTGCATTTCTAAACTAATAAAAATGTATAGTCATGGGAAGGAGGGGTGAGGAATCACTTTCTCCTACAGTGGCTTATTTCCCTGAGGACAATGCCTGCCTTTCGGAATCTGTCCCGGAGCAGGCAGGTGCACCTTGGGGAGCTTGTTACTTCTTAATTACACAGGAAGCTCCATTCCCAGGGGTTTCTGCCCTCCCCCTTCTCCTTCCTTTCCTACATCAGCAAATAGCTGGGGAATTAAAGCTTCAAAGGTTGGTGATGACAGGTGGTGACAGACTGATATCCTGAAGTCCAGGTGAATAGCAGCACAGTGGCCAAGGTCAACCTCATTTGAAACTCATACTTGCATCAGAGATGGCTGCAGAATTGCGGGAAATGATTTTCACTTTCCTAGAAGGGAGAAAAATTATTTTCTGGTGTTCAGGCTCACACCAGATATCAGAGTGGAATGCTACACCGTTCTTGACTTCAAGGGCTTTCCATGGGTAGCCACAGCAAAGGAGAAATTATGAAAGGAAATGAAACATCTTCCGAAACTGGGAAGGAAATTGGAGGGAAATTTTTGTTTTGGGAAAATAACAGTTTTATTTTATTCTTTCTCCTAAGCTTGTGATTTTAGTATTCCAAGTCCTTATGCTTGAATTACTTAGCAACAGGGCATGCTTATGCAGAAGACAGGGAAATGGAGAGAAAAGCGCGGGAATACACAAAACTGAAGGTTCCTTAACAGAGTTCATGGTGGAGATCATAGACACTGGTGGAGTTTTTATCCAGAACTTAAAACTTAGGAAATACCTATGATGCCACTTTAGCTGGAAGTAATGGGGACTTCTGATTCCAAATTCATATTTTATTTTTCTTTATTATTTATATATATATATTTTTTATTTTTATTTTTTATTTTTTTTTATTTTTTTTTTTTTGAGACAGAGTCTTACTCTGTCGCCCAGGCTGGAATGCAGTGGTGTGATCTCAGCTTACTACAGCCTCTGCCTCCCAGGTTCCAGAGATTCTCCAGCATCAACCTCCCAGGTAGCTGGGATTACAGGCATGCACCACCACACCTGGCTAATCTTTGTATTTTTAGTAGAGATGAGGTTTCACCATGTTGGCCAGGCTGGTCTTGAACTCCTAACCTCAGATGATCCACCCGCCTCGGCCTCCCAAAGCGTTGGGATTAGAGGTGTGAGCCAATGTGCCTGGCTCAAATTCATATTTTAAATGCCTATTTGCAATCAGCAAAGAGCCAGGTATGCTGCATGCTGCTTGCTATAAGGATTTGGCTTCACTGGCTCAAATTTTTTCACTCCACCAAAAGACAAGGCACAGGCCCACTTGTCCAATGACGTTTGCTGAAAATACTGTAGCCTGAGTGTAGACAAACTTCCCCAGAAGTTGCTAGAAGTCTCTAGTTAGCATAATCACTGGATGACTGCATGCAGAAGGCCTTTAGGGAACGTACAGTCCAATCTCCTTACCTTATGGTATAAAGCAGGCCCAGAAAGCGGAAATGATTTGTCCCAAGTCGCAGCAAAACAGGAACAGCGGCCGGGCGCGGTGGCTCACGCCTGTAATCCCAGCACTTTGGGAGGCCGAGGCGGGCGGATCACAAGGTCAGGAGATCGAGACCACGGTGAAACCCCATCTCTACTAAAAATACAAAAAATTAGCCGGGCGCGGTGGCGGGCGCCTGTAGTCCCAGCTACTCAGGAGGCTGAGGCAGGAGAATGGCGTGAACCCGGGAGGCGGAGCTTGCAGTGAGCCGAGATCACGCCACTGCACTCCAGCCTGGGCGACAGAGCAAGACTCTGTCTCAAAAAAAAAAACAAAAAAAAAAAACAGGAACAGCCTGAGGCTTAGAACTCACTTCTGATTCTGAGTAAGGCTCTTCCCTCCAGCTGATAAACATGGTCCGTGGCAGGCAAGGACCAGAGCGACCCTAAGCAGGTTAGGGGCAGGGTAGAGCCCCCCAGGAGGCACTAACAGCTCAGCAGCTCATGGGAGAGCTTCCAAGAGGCCAGTTGGCAGCAACCTACCTTGGGTACTGCTGACCTCAACCTCAGGGGATTACAGGAGCACCCTAGGTGGATGAATTAGCATGCAAGTCTCTCTGGTCTGTGCCGAAGCTTTGGGGACTTGCTAAATTTAGAAATTTGAGGCCAGGTGCGGTGGCTCACACCTGTAATCCCAGCACTTTGAGAGGCCAAGGCAGGCAGATCACCTGAGGTCGAGAATTGGAGACCAGCCTGAGCAACATGGAAAAACCCTGTCTCTACTAAAAAATACAAAATTAGCCAGGTGTGGTGGTGCATGCCTGTAATCCCAGCTACTCGGGAGGCTGACGCAGGAGAATCACTTGAACCCAGGAGGCAGAGTTTGTAGTGAGCCGAGATCACGCCATTGCACTCCAGCCTGGGTAACAAGAGCAAAACTCCATCTCAAAACAAAAGAAAGAAATTTGAAAGCAGCCAGCAACATCAAGGCACAGATGGAGTTTGAGCTACCCTCTCCAGGCTATTCAGAAAATTCTCCCAAGGGGAAGTTGGGAAGGAGAACTTCTATTTGGTCCCAGCCTAAACTCTCCTGGAAGCTCGGTGGGGCCTCTGTCAGCTTTCCCCTCTGGACCTGCCCATTTGCCCCAGAGGTGCCCACTCAATGCCTGTCAAACTAAAACTTAAACCTAAGTGTCTGCAGCATGGTCTCCAGCCAGCCTGATCAGAAGACTATAGAGGGGGCCAGGCACGGTGGCTCACACCGTATTCCCTATAATCCTAGCACTTTGGGAGGCTGAGGTGGGTGGATCACATGAGGTCAGGAGTTCAAGACCAGCCTGGCCAACATGGTGAAACCCCATCTCTACTAAAAATACAAAAATTAGCTGGGCATGGCGGTGGATGCCTGTAATCCCAGCTACTCGGGAGGCTGAGGCAGGAGGATCACTTGAACCTGGGAGGCAGAGGTCGCAGTGAGCCAAGATTGCACCACAGCACTCCAGCCTGGGTGACAGAGTGAGACTCTGTCTCAAAAAAAAAAAAAAAGAAAAAGAAAAAGAAAAAAGAAGGAGGGGCACACTGACTCCTCACTGAAGAATGGGATGGACACCCTTTATTCTACCTCTCCTAGCAAGGCCATAAGTCTTTGCTCTGAAAGGAGCCAGACTTTAGAGCCGGCTACAGGTGGACATGGGGTGAAGACATCAGGTTGCCAGGGCACCCTCTCTCGTTCCCTAGGAGCCTGGCCCCCTGCAAGGAGGGGCACCTTGAAACAATCAAGCCTAGTGAGTGGGGCGGCAAGCAGAGCAGAGACACAAATGACAGCGCGGTGGAGCCCCACCAGTCCCTCTGAGGATACGGCAGAGGGACCCCCCACTGGGGTCCACACCCCTGTGTGTCTCGGGCTGATTTGGACACAAGGCTCACACATTCACCCTACCTGCTCCAGTGCTAGCTGGCTGAGGATGCCAGGCTGTACCCGACCTCAGGCTGTGCGGCTTGGAACCTGGACCGGGGCAGGAACTGACAGGTTCCCCCAAATAGTGTCACCCCTAGAATCCCAAGACCTCAAGGGGCAGAAACCACAATTCTGGATGTTATGTGTGCAGCGCCATCTCCTGTCTGCCCTGCCTCTTTATCCCTTCCTCCCAAGGCGACTTTGGACCAGGTCTCGAGGCCAGGAGACCGGCCCCAGCCCGCCCGACCGGGATGGGCCTGGCGCCCGGGGGAGGCTGCGTCGTGCTGAGACAGCTCCGAGCTGCCTCCCCGCAGCCGCGGGCCGCTACAAGTGCGGATTCGGCGGCGAAAGGAAAGAGTCTGGCCCTCCAGGGGCCGCAGGGAAAGTCAACCTTTGGGTCGGGGACAATCAGGACTGGAAGTCGATATCGCGGGGAACGAATGATGAATGAATAAATGAAAGGATGAAGAGTGGCGAGGCGGAGATAGGCCATGCGGGGCGTCGCGAGGAGGGTGCCTTTCCCTGCCCGGATGCCGCCGGGACCGTCCCTTATCCCCCAGGTCGCAGCAGGACACCCGGTCCTGGCGCGAACACCCCGCGGGCCCCAGGAGGTGCCTGGGCGCGCGGCGCAGCTCTGGCCCGGAGCCCGCATTCCGGCGGCCGGGAAGTGCCTGCCCCGTGGGCAGAACGCGCCGAGTTGCCGCAGCCCCAGGAGCCGTCCTGCCCCGCGCGGCAGCAGCCCCTCGCGGCGGCCTCCGGAACCCCGAGACCGGCCCCCGGGCCGCAACCCCTTACCTGCCCGCCTCGGCGGCCTCGCTCCGGCTCAGAGCGGTCATCGTGACGCCTGCACCCAGCGGCCCTGACCGCGCGCCCTGACCCAGCGCCCGCCGGACCCCGCCCGCCCCGTCGAGAGCCCGCCCCGCCCGCCCATTGGCGGGTCGCGCGGGCCGGACCCAGCCCATTGGTCGTTCGTCCGTCTCCTTTCACAGCTTCCCCGGCTTCCCTCCTTCCCCACCTTCCCCAGGTGGGGCCCCAAGCTCTGAGCAGATCCTAGCGCTCGGTCCCCCGGACTGGAAGGTCCCGGAGGCCAGGGCCTGGCGCGGTACCTCCTGTCCCTCACGTCGAGGGTATTGTGTCCCCTCTGGACGCTTCTGTCCTCCTAGTCTTGGAGTTTGGGTCCCTCTGCAGGAACTGATTCCGGCCCCTCTCCAACCTAACCCTTCCCAACATCGAGCTCCAGGGTAAGTTTCAATTTTACCATGAGTGGGGAACACCAAAGGGGATATTGAACACCGCGGTCTGACAGCCAAGTCACCACCACGAGCCCGGGAGTCAGGATGCTCCCACGCACTCTTGCTGGAGTTAACATTGCAGTCTCTAAGGAAATGCACTTTTGGAGGAGTCTGCGAAGGGGATGAAGGTGGACACAAATCAAAGGCAGGGAAGCAGAGGCACAGCTCAGTGTGTGACAATGAGCTGGGCTAAATTGAGCAGTGATAATGGGCCCACAGGTCCTATTCCCCAACTTGCCTGGCCTACAGGCCCTTTCCTCTTCCATCCCCACCAGGTCACTTGGTCCTTGGGAGTGTGATCAGGAGAGGGAAAAGGCACAGGCCAGATTTGGTCCCATTTCCAACTCTCTCCCCCAACCCCTTGGCACTACCGCATCATGGTGGGAGAGCACCAGCAAACAGGAGGGGTCACAAGGGGAGCCTAGGTCCACAACTAAGGACCTGGGAGCAGAACCCAGTCTCAGGCGCCCAGAGCTGACTTCCTACAGCCCCATAAGGGATATGCTATTGCAGGGAGACCAAAGTGGAAGAACCACAGCCAGGGCCACTTTGCTATTTAAATTTACCTACCAGAGTGGGAGGGAGGAGGCCTTGTCCCTGCTCTTTCCCATCTCTGGTTCACATAAGCCATGAAGGTCTCCCCGCAGCACTGAAGGGGGCAACCTGTAACCCTAAGATAATCAGCTACTGCTTTCCCAGCGCCTCTGCACCAGGAGGTGGGCAGGATGGCAGGTGACACCACCATAGCTCCACAACGGGGCATGAGGCTGCAGCCATTCCCAGCCTGCTCAGAGGCCAGGGTTCAACCACCTCTCCCTCCCCAGCAGAAAAAAGAAGAAACAGGTGCTTCAGCTGTTGTTTATTGACATACAGGTAGGCTCTATAGCAACAGGCCTGAAGGCGCTGCAGTAGTCCCTGCAGAAGTGGGGGAAAATGGAAGGTGGAGGGTGGAGTGTTTGCTGCAGGCCAGCTGAGTGGAGGGCGGGGACAGGTGTGAACTGGGGAGGCCCAGGGGGCTGGGGAAGCAAGTAAGGGCCAGGGCCAGAGTCAGCTTCAAGGGAACAACAGCCCCGTGCCCTAAGGCCCCTAACTCTCTAGCTGTTTACCCCAGGCCAGGGTTGGGAGTCCTCTGGGCATCCATTTTTTTCTCAAGGAACTGGACGGAGTATACACAGGAAAGGAAGCTGTCACCCTCTTGCCATCTGGCTCCAGGGGCCTCCAGTCCAGCATTCCTCCTTCTTCCCTTGATTGGGTGGGGCCACATGATGGGCAGCCAGGCTCTGGGCTGTCCCACTAGAGCAGGCTGCAAACACAGCCATGTTTCAGCGAGGCACTAATCTTCTTCCCTGGTGTCCCAGCCCACCAGTGCCACATTACAGCCCAGAGTGAGTTCTACAAGCGTTGCTGGCCTAATGGATGGGTTGGGGGAAGGGGGTGGGACAGCGGCTGGAGGAAGGGCTCTCAGGTTCATCACGGCACAGGAACAACACGCATGGTGTTGGTGAAGCCGGAGCCAGGGCGCCATCCGGTCAGCACAATGACCACATCTCCCTTCTTGAAGAAGCCTCGGGCCTTGCCTGGAGGAAGAGAAGGGAGATTGGTAAGTAAAAGCCAAGCCAGGCAGGTGTGCACCTGGGCAGCTGCCCCATAGCCCGAGCACTGAACTAGGCTGACTGACCACTACTTCCTCACACCACAAGGTGGCACCAGACTTACAGCCCAGGCAAACAGGAGGGAGGCCCTGAAATGTCCTTATCACTCAGATGGCAGGGTTGGCAGGGACTTTTGGACATCTTTTGCTTCATCCTCCAGAGGGTGCAAAGCCTTGCCCAGGGTCAAGAGCTAGCTGCTTCCTGTCATCCGGTGATACCCTACCTTATACAGGGACAATGGCCACATCAGTACATAATCTGTGTATGCCACCCCACAGCACAGGAGCTGTAGCCAATTTTATTTAAAAAACAAAAACAAAACCCTCAGTAATGAGCAGATGCCAAAGAATGGACAATTTTGCTTTGAGTCCCAGACTAGAAGAGAAGAGGAAAGGAACTGCTCAGCCCTACAACTCAAAGGACCCTTTTCCCTCCTGGGCTCAGCTTAGGACTTCCGGGAATGACAGATTCAGAAAGAACATTCCCAATGAGGGAGAGGAACAGTCAGCTGGGCCTTTTGCCCCTCTATGTTTCCCTTTCTATTCCCCAAACTTTCAGGGTCCCACAGAAGCCAATGCTCAAGCATCCCCAAACCCCTCTAGGCTCTAGCCCCTGCTCCAGACACGTACCAACATTCATGGCAAAGTTCACCCGGAGGTCCACGTCCTCAGCCCAGGCCTCCTGGACTGGGTCCTTGCACAGCACAGGGAAGATGCCACGGTACAGGTGGGCCTGACGAGCTGTCTGGGGATTCCGGGTCACAGCAATGATGGGGGCACGTGGGCGGTATCTGGCCACCTGATGAGCAGACCTGAGATGGGATGGGGGACATACAGAAGAGACCATTACACAAGGCCCCAGGAAGTACCTCAGGGCATTCAAACAGCTCATCCTCTCACCCAGCTCACTGATGGCCCTGGCCTCTTCAACATCTGCTCCCTAGGACCTCTCCCAAGGCTAGGGCAGCCCCTCATCCTATATCCTCCATAGCAGGCTAGGCTACCATCTGCCCTCTACCCCCACTCCACAGGCCAAGGGCCCAGGATTATCTTGACCCAGGATTATCTTGACCCAAGGTCAGCCTCACCCACTTATCCCACACAGCCCATGGTTGGCAGAACCCCTCCTACACTCTGAAACAGACAGGCAGCCCTGGCCCAATGTCACCAGCACCCATTCCTCTCGCTGCCGGTGACATCTACAAGCCAAGTAGCATGTAGAGCAGTAGCAGAGCTGACCGGCCCCATGGGAATCAACATCAGGCTTCTCTACTTTTGTGCCCTCTCCCTGTCCCACATGGCCCCTGGCTCCTGAAACAGTCCAGCAACTGGGCTATAAAGGCCCAGAGTCAAATCTGAGTATCTAGGTGAGGCTTAGAAATCTAAGTGCTACTCAGCAGGCAAGAACAGGAAATGGGAGTGTTGGTGCAGGAGCAGCTCTGCCTGCCAAAGCTCCTTTGGAAGGCAGGGGACCCTTCTGAAGCCCCTCTGCCAGGTGCTTTCTTGAACACTGACACTGCACACTTGTAGCTGCAGCTGTGTCTCAGGAGCTGGGGAGGGGCACCAGAAGGCAAGTTATGAGGACACTCAATAGGTGTCAGGGAAACTTAAGCCATATCATAGCAGAGAAGTCCCTGCACTTCACGCTTGGCCTATATGCAAGGCCATCAGAGGGAAGCAACTGCTGAAGCTAGGACCAGCTGAGTGAAACCCCAGAAGACTAGAGCTTAAAATAGCCAAACAGCAAGAACTGGACCTTTTAAGAAAGGTCAACTCTACTGGTTGAAGCTGTTCAGCCAAGAGTGGGAGGCTGGAGCCCTCTGCTGAGGGCATCTGCACAGAGCTTGTGTCCTGGTTCTCTGGGCTGCCCACGCCCACCTGCTGCTCCTCAGTGCGTGGGCACTGCCTGTTTGCTCTTCTCCTCCAGGAAACCCTCGCTGCCCTGTGGGCAGGGACAAGGAGCATAATCCCTAACTAGGAGAGTGAAGGACATTAACTCAATGTCCTGGGCTAAGGAAGGGATCCCAAGTTGGAGGCTCAGCATAGGCCACACAGTCCTCAGCCTGGCTGCCTGGCCCCACAGAATGTCAGCCAAGATAGCACAGCAACCTCTCCTGAGCTGGAAACCAATTTGTCTTTAGGGCTCGAAAACAGCAGGGACTAGTGCGCCAAATGGAGGCACAGTAAACAGCATTTAAATAAATTTATTTTCCCAACTGAAATTTTTAAAGAGCACATAGTAACTGGAATAAGCAAAAGTGGTTATCTTTTACTATTTTAAATAAGAGGACTAAATTTTTTTTTTTTTGAGAATCTCACTCTGTTGCCCAGGCTAGAGTGCAGTGGTGCGATCTCGGCTCACTGCAAGCTCCACCTCCTGGGTTCACGCCATTCTCCTGCCTCAGCTTCCAGAGTAGCTGGGACTACAGGCGCCCGCCACCTCGCCCGGCTAACTTTTTGTATTGTTAGTACAGATGGAGTTTCACCGTGTTAGCCAGGATGGTCTCAATCTCCTGACCTCGTGATCCGCCCACCTCGGCCTCCCAAAATGCTGGGATTACAGGCGCGAGTCACCGCGCCCGGCCTACAGGAGTGAGCCACAGCGCCTGGCTACTAAATTTTCAATATCAAATAACCATTTGTAGTCAGCCTGTGCACTATTATGTAATAAATCTCCAGCATAAACTTGCTTTTGATCCAAATGTTCTAACATTCCTTATGTGTGCTGCCTAGAGTCCTCTGGGCCCAAGGAAGGGGCTCTGCTCAATCCTTCCCTGCAGGCCCAAGGTGGCAGGCAGAGGGGTCTTACCTTGGCTCAGTGCCACCTGAGCATTGTTCAATGCACTGCTCCCAGGACCCCCAAGGAGAGGTGCCACTGAGCGGGGCATGCCAGGGAGCCGCTGCCACCTCCTACCTGCCAGACTTGGTGAGGACGATTATGGCCCCACTGCAGCACTTGAAGGAGGCCTCCACGGCACCCACGGCGGTGGCTTCTGTGGGGTCGCTGGTAATGGGCGCCAGGCGGCGGAGTTCCTCAAATAATTGCAAGTGGTAGATGGCGGCCTCTGCCTCACGGGCAATCTAGGGGAGCAACATCCGTCCAGAGGGACGAGAGGAGGACAGAGCCTTGTCAGAGCTTTGTCACAGAAGGAGAGGGAGGGGAAGAGTCACCCAGACAGCTGGTGAGGAACATGTTCCTAGGGACAAAGGCCAAGAGTAGCCCAGTCACTGGAGATGCTGAGCTGAGCCAATTTCAAGACTCCACAGAAACCAGTCCTTCACCAAGTGCCTGTGACATCTGCTGTGCCTACTGAGCCACAGGACCCTTTGGTCCTGCCCTGCCATGACCTCCCTGGCGGTGTTCCTATAGACAAGAGGAGGCTCTGTGCCCAGGTGCCAGGTTGGGCCTGGCTGTCTTCTCCTAGAACAGCTGAAGCAAGAGGCTGGTTATCCTAGCAGTGTTACCTGCCCTTAGGGCCCTACCTGCCAGACTCCGTCAGAACTATCAAAGCTGCTGCTAAACACTTATAAGAAGCCTCCACGCTGCCCATGGCCATGGCTTCCATGAGGTCTGTGGAGTGACTTGAGGCTCGCACAAGTTCTTCAAACAGCTTGCGGTGGAACATGGCTGCCTCAGCCTCACGAGCTATCTGTAAGGTTTAGGGGAAGAGGGGACAAGGAAGAGGGAAGGAGGAGGAAAAAAACAAGACACAACACATGGGAAGACAGAATGGGGAATTAATCAGAGAGGAAGGTAACCTTAGGTTAATTGGCTAAATCTGTCCTTCAGGCAGATGCGGAGGTAGGGTGATGAAAGTCCAACTGCTTCAGGAGGTGCTGCCACTTCCCCTCCAATACAGGGCAAATTGGCTCTTCCGTTCTGGAAGGATTTGATTGGGGATGGAGGGAGACAATCTGGCAGTAGGCTCTAGCACTCTGGCATGAAAACATGCCCAGGCTGGGCCCACACCACTCCCTGGCAGAGGACTTGATCACGCTGCCTCACGACATAGCTTACAGAAAGGAACAGGCCCTCCCTCCTCACATGGC